GCCTCACAAATAGATTTTCAAATGCCAAGCTTGTCCTCAGAGCTATAGAAATGGATTGGGTTGATGGCGGCATGCTTTAGTTTTTTTTAGCGCCACTAATAGGAATTGTAAGAATGTGGTTATGTGCTGGAAGGCCACTGCATTTGGGCCCCGATCCACCTCCCAGCAGTGGTATCCAACACCCTGTGCCAAGGTTGATCCCTAAGCAAATTGACAGTGGATTATTCGATAATATGAGTGGGCGGAGCCAGAGACAATGCTAGGCAGATGCATGCAGCTGTAGGCAGAGTGGTTGGTGGAGCCATAGATAGCAGGAGGCGGAGCTGAAGCCAACGGTAGGAGGAGCTGCTAATGGTGGGAGGCGGAGCTGAAACCAACCATAGGACGTGATGCATACAGCAGTAGGCAAAGCTGAAGCCAGTGGTAGGAGGAGCTACAGAGAGAGCAGGAGGTGGAGCTGAAGCCAACGGTAGGAGGAGCTACAGACGGTGGGAGGCAGAGCTGAAACCAATGGTAGGAGGCAATGCAAACCGCAGAAAGGCTCTCAAAGCGGTTTATGTATCTTTCAGACTTGAGAGGAGACCGCCACTGCCCTCCAGCTTACAATCTAAAAAGGTGACACAAAAGGAAAGGGGATGAGGAGGGAAGAGGAAAAAAAGAGGAAAAACTTGGGCATAAACTCTTAATGTCGACATTCATGTCTGCTGGGCATTCATTGCAGGTTCAGGACAAGTTTTTGATCTGTTGGTCATCTATTGTCAGGCTGTTGAATGTGCTTTTTTTCCCATGCATCTTTTTAAAAAACGGTCTTGTTGAATCTTGTGTTGCACATTGGTGAAGAATAGGTGACCCCATAGAAAAGGAATGCAGTGTCTGGAAGGTAGAGGAGAGGCTTCAGGAGAGGCTTTCATCTAAAAGTTATTATTATTATTTTTCCAGACCACAACTCCCTGCCTCTCTCTCTGCCGTCCGAGCCCTCTTGGCCGGCTGGTTTCCTCGTGCCTCGTGGGCATCTTTTCTTTTTCCACCAGGCTACGGGGCTCCTGTGTGTCTGTTTAATGCTCCGGCTGTTCAGCGTGACCCCTCCGAAAAAAATAAATCAAAGGAAAATTAGACAATAAATAACTGGAGGACGGTTTTAGCACCGGGGGTTTCTCTCCCCCCCCCCCAATGCTCTGCAGAGACGAAGAGTAAACAGTTACGGAGAAGAATCTCAAAGGGGAAGTAAATTTTTATGAGAAACAACTTCATTTCCTCCTGGCAGGGCTCCGGTGAAATAAGAGACCAGTTTAGGGCCAACTCACTGTTCCTGAGAAAGGAAGCGGGGTTGCGTTTTTCGTCCTGCTCTGCTTTGATCTCCAAAAAGACAATAAACTATCTTATACAAACACACAAATGTGTGAAGAGGATTTTTTCCATTTAAACCATCGTCAAGCGATTTCCTCATTAAGCGAGGCAATCGCTAACTGTATATAAAAGGAGGTGTGTGTGTGTGTGTGTGTGTGTGTATAAAACACACAGTATGAACATATGCACATACAGCAGGAGATAGATATATACAGGTGTGTGTGTGTGTGTGTGTGTGTATAACACAATATGCACATATGCACATAGAGCAGGAGATAGATATATACAAAAAGGGTGGCCCAAGAAAGAGGGGTATGCCATAGCCTCCTTCACTGTCCTGGCTAGGAGAACAGAGAGATTATCATCATCCTCGAACGGTCTCATGTAGGAGCTGCCCCCCACCAGCCACCCCAGTTGCATCCAGTAGGGTCCCGTCCATCAGCCTGGCTGCCAGGGCAGGGGCTGGGGAAGAGGGGTGAATCCGCTCCGGGTTTTGTGGTGAACTTTAAACAGCACCTCGAAAGGTCAGAGGAAACCCAGAGCTGATTCGCTGATTTTATTTTTCCTAGCAAACTTTGGGCTCCTAGCTAGGATGAGGGATAAGAGCAAACAGGGATCCCGAACCCCACTGTGCCAAACCCCTCGGGCCCGCCTCCTGCTGCCATTTTGAAAAGGCAGTGGAGTTATTCATAGTTTTATTCGCTTTACATACAGCAGTGAGTCCTCTGGGCTTGTGATCCATCTTGTCCTCAAAGAGGTTAAAGAGACCTTTTGTGAATAGAATCAGGAAATTAGAAAACGCACAACAGCGGGTTGAATTCTCCAGGCCAGGAAACATCAATGGGCTGTTGTTATTATGTGCCGTCAAGCCAAAATAGGACTATCAAGCTAAATAAGGAGTGGTTTTACCCTTTCCTCACACCCCCAGTGAGTTCCTGTGGCTCAGTGGAGACTCGAACCCAGACCTTGAGAGTCCTAGTACTTCAGTCTGGCCTCTACTCTGTGCTGGGTAGCCTAGAATGCATTCCAGGCGATCACCACAACCTGTTCATTCAGTACTACTGTACTTGGATTTTGCTTTGCAAACCCGAGGCGATCCGTGAGACCGTGAACCGCACGGGCAAAGCCACGGCAGGCCATTAAGTTGCCGTTGAACGAAGGGGAGGGCGTGGAACGTGGACGAGGGTGTGATGGTATGCTCCGTGCTCCAGAATGTGTCGGCGTCTTTCGGTTTCTGTCTAAAAATAAGCGAGGCCTGTTGCTTCCGATAAGAGAAGCAGAAGTCTCTTGTCGCCCGGGGACTGTCACCGAAAAAGACACGCCGCCCCTCGCTCTCCCGAGGATGAGATTTCTGTGATTTTGCCACTGGTCTCAGTCAAGCCTTCTCCGCGGAAAAGTTATTGCAGTCGATGCCTTTTGGAGAAAAAAACAAACAAACAGAAATCTTTGTGTCTATTTCATGTTTTTAGGTAACGATGCGTCTCTTTGTTCGGAAGAGGAACCGCGTTTTGCTGTTTCCCCGACAACACAAAGACACACCAGCCTGCGGGGCTGCTCACCCTGAACAAAATGTGTCGGTCTCAAATGCACCACAATACAGTGGTGCCTCGCTTAATGAGCACACCGTATAACGACGAAATCGCATAGCGATTAGGTTTTTGCGATCGCAAATGTGATCGCATACCGATGGTCCCTATGGGCAAAAATCGCTTTGCGAAGATCGGTAAGCGTTTCGCTTACCAATCTTCGCAAAGCGATGCCGCGGATCAGCTGTTCGGCGGCTCCAAAATGGCCGCCGGAAGCCCCGGAATGGCAGCGCGCAGCATGGCGCGAAAATGGCTGCCAGCTATGGAACAACTTCGCTGAACGGTGAGTTTTGGAGCCCATTGGAACACATTAAACTAAGTTTAATGCATTCCAATGGCTTTCCCCGTTTCGTACAGCGATGTTTCGCCATAGCGACGGTTAATCCGGAACGGATTAACCTCACTATGCGAGGCACCACTATACTTGGGGTGATGGCCTTGCCGTTTGGATCCCGTCGCAGCCTTGATTTCAGTATTAAGCAATCTTTTTGTTCCGCTTCCTTACTCAGGTGGCAGTCACACGGGCAAGACATTTTTTAAAAATCAAGTCCCAGTCCCATGGTATTTAAACTGAATAGAAATCTGTTCGTTTCTGGTGATTTAAGCCGGTTTTGGCATCTATGCTGCTGAAATTGCCTCATTTGGGTCAGTTTTAGAAGGGAGGTACAGTAGGATCCCCATGTCCACGGGAGAAGCCCCCCCCCCGTGGATGCTGAAAAGTGTGGATTGTAGCAAATGCTATTTTTAATAGCACACACTATACATACCATGGCTTTTGTCTCCCTCTAGTGCCCAGTTCTGATAATCACATTGTGGATATTTCAGAGAACACTATACATAGTGTGATCTCTGACTCCCTCTAGTGGCCGGTTCTGATAAAGTCATCTTTAGAAATAACATATTTCTAGAATTATTCTTTTAATATTTTGTATATTTTCAGATCGTGGATCAGTGAATCAGTAGACGCTGGTCCTGTGGATAACTAAATCCTGCAGTATTTTTTTTTAAAAAAACCTCTGCCAGCCAGTTGAAAACAAAGCAAAACTTTGCAGCCCATATAAATTAATTTCACCTTTGTGTCGTGTGAATGAGAAAATAGAAATCGATTTAAATGATGCTTAAGTGTGATCCTTATTGCTGGTAGGACCACAACCTCAGTTTATGCAATATGTACAAGCTTGATAATTAACCCAGTGCTGGTTGCGTTCCTGGTCGACAACCAGCATTGCATTAATGAGCAGAAATTTGCCACCATGCTTTATGAACTTCTCCATATGCATGGGACACTCTCCAATTAGGCTCTGAGCAAAAATGGTTTGGTAGACCGAATATTCCTTTTCCACCAGGATTTTGACGCAATTTCTTACAGACACATTGGGTGAATTAAGAGAAAAGACCTTTTTTAGTAGTCTCTCTCAAACTCTAGAACTGTTAAGGGAGGTAAAATTAGCACCCCAACTTTGATTGTTCCAATTCAAGCGATGACTTTGGAGGGCTGTCGTTTGCCACTGTTTCTATCTTTATATTGCTGCATTGTGAATTCTGTCTTCAGTCCATTTGTTTATTGTTTTAAGTGAAGTTTTGTTTTTTACTTGTATTAAGTAATCAAGCTAGTAGTTCAGTTTGGGGAGGTAGAATACCTAGTAAAAGTAAAAGTAGCCGCCTAGAGTGGTCGTATTGACCAGATAAGTGGGGTACAAATAGAATAAATAAATAAAATTAATAAATTCCCCCCCCAGTGGAGGGAAAGAGGGTTCTCAGTCCTATGCAGACTTCGAAGAGCTGCTCTTGACATTTTTTAAAAGTGTCCATTCCCCTCTCACCAGCCTGCTGTTTAACGTCAAAAAGGATCCTTTTTAAAAAGCAAGAAAGATAAAGGCATTGATTTTTCCAAAGAGAACATTTTTCATAGTAGTTTGTCAAAGAGAGGAGTGTTTATTCCTAAAACAGGGCTGTTAACTGCTAAAATAGGAAAGTTTAGATAAATTTGGAAGACGTAGGGTGGCTACTTCAGATATTATAGTCCGATGACTTGGCTTACTGGTTTCTTGTTGTGATCCGTTCCAGAGATCCATGGGGTCAGAACCGCCATTTCAACCACCTCCTTCTGTCCCAGGAACCTACCTTTAAAAGCATACAAAAAGCACAGAAACCGAGCATGGGAGATTCCTCCTCTGATGCTGCGGGCGGAGGTACGAACTTCTGCGGCACGGACGCTCCAACGGAGCTTGCCGAAAGGGTAGCCACCATCAACGTCTCCGTGGACCCCAAAGCCATCAGCCAAAATGGCCAGGGGACAGCTCAAGAAGAGGAAGAACTGAAGTCAACCAACGGCGCGGCTGTCAACCACCAAAGGAACGGCGTCAACGATGATTCGGAGACGTCGGAAGAACTGGACGGGGCTCACGAGATGCATCCTCCCAAGCGGGCTCCCAAGAGGCCCATCCTGTCCGGCAGGAAGTATTCCCTTCAAGAAAAGCCGGCCGGACATTACTTGGCCTCTACGGATCCCTCGGGTTTTGGTCCTTATGCCACGGGGCCTTCCACGCACATCTCGCCACGTATCCTGAGAAGGCCCACGATAGAGTCCCACCGAGTCTCCATCTCAGACGCAGCGGTAGGTTTCTTAACTCTTTTGTTTTGAATGTCCGTCCCATTTTTAATCTGCAGGAAAAACTGGTGGCAGCCGGAATGTATTGTTAGTGTGTATGTACAGAGTTTTCACAAGATGCAGCCAGAATCTTAGGATGATGGCTTTGGAAGGGGCCGGGAATGCTATTGAGGCCAACCCCCTGCTCAAGGCAGAAATACAGATCAAAGTAGATTTGACAGACGGTGGTCCCATCTTCCCTCCAGGGTTAGAGCGCTCGCCACCACCCAAGATCATGAATTCCGTTGTCGTACTGCTCTAACAGTTGAGAAGTTTTTCCAGATATTCAACCCAAATCAGGCTTCCTGCAACGTGAGCCCATGATCACACGTCCTGCAGTCGGGGATGATCAAGAACAGATCCTGTCCCCCTCCTTTTTATAACTACCTTGCAAATATATTTGGAAAGAGCTGTCCTGCCCCCCCTCCAAAGATTTAAACTGATCCCTTCGATGCTTGATCCACAGACCAGCAGCTCCAAACGTTCAGATCAGTTTCGTTAAAGTAACCAGAAGGAAACTCGAGTTGCTTTTGAGAAACCAAATCCTCAAACTCCATATTGAGGGGAGGTCTTTCTAGGCCAACCCAAAAAGATTTTTTTTTAAAGTACAGTGGTGCCTCACTTAATGAGCACACCGTATAACGACGAAATCGCATAGCGATTAGGAACGGATTAACCTCGCTATGCGAGTCACCACTGTACTAAAAAATGCACCAGATTCCGAGAATATTATCTTTCCACCAGAGGCCCTTAAAACATTCATGCATTTATCCAGGAGTGACACAGGAAAAACACGGTCAAAGAGGCTTGGATACAAAGGTGATTTGTAACAAGTCTGTGATATTTCTCCACCAAGGCCAAATATATACAGGAGGAGAACAGGATGATTTTGCAACAGCAGCTGGTTGTAATAATATTATTCATCCAGCTATTTAACATTTCCCATGGGAAGGAGATCCCTCAGATTCTAACTGTTGCTAAGTTGTGAATTTTGGTTAAATTCTTCTAGCTGTGCAGCAGAAGGGCAGGGATTCACAGAGCAGAATTAGTTTCAAGTTCCTCACAGTAGACCACCCCTTTTTCTCATCCACTGGTCCGTGGAATGTCAATGACTCACTCAGGGACCTTTGAAGAAGAAAGGGTGACAGCAAACAGACAAAACATGACCGCTTGCAGAAACGGAACTCAACAGATGCACTGACCGTTTCCAACAGATTAAACTTACTGTTAGCCATCTAAAGGGAGTGGGGAAAGGCTCAGAAGAAAGAGGCGGGCTGTCTTTGAATTCATAGGGAGGGAAGGAACGGTTGGCTAGTGGCTGATTGACAGTCACCCCGGCCTATAAAGTCCCTCCCAAGCCACACCTACTAGAGGCAGCATACGAGGTTGTAAAACCTCCGTCGCTAACTTGGGGTGGACAGCCCTTGAGAGTAGTGGATTTTCTGCTTCTGGGACCCTCCTAGGACCCTGCCGCCTGCCCCAAATGCCAGCCAAATCTAATCAAAACCAACCCAACCCAGCCATAGGTAGAAGTCCTGTTTCTAAAAAAACATGTAATTCTGAAACCTGTTTAAAAAGTGAACTGGGCTCTCCTGAAAAGAGATTGAAAGAGGTGATTTTATCCGGGGTTGGGTCTTTTTTTTTTTTAACAGGGGTGTAGTTTTCTAAAACAAGATGCATGCCATGCTGTGCTTTTGGAGAAATCTGCGCCCATTGGAGGCTTCTGGGGTGGAATTTCTCCATCATTTCCTCCCCGGGACCACTTCCGACACCAATATATTTCTTAGCGAGCTCCCTCATCGACACCTAGGTGCACGGGAACAGCTACGAAAAGCGACGTTTTTTCCTTTGGCTTTCTCTCTGCATGGCACCATTCATCATCATTCATCACTGTCAACTCCTGGAGGCGTCGGATCCATCACGCCATGTTTGCAAATCATGACGCCAGTTAAGCTGCCGTCTTGGCAAAAAAATGAAGATTAAATCGATCCGTGTTGTGCTTTCGCTGGCGTGCACCCGGAGAGGCTTTCTCGCTCCGGGAACCAAGATGGATGGGCGGACGGATCCTGTGCTCAAGAGCGGCATCCCTGTCAAAAGAAGAGGGGGGCAGCTTTGGGTGGGTGGATGGGTGGAGGACTGGCATATTTTCCCGGAGGAAAAATGAAAGAGCCAGCTGCATTAGCTTAGAGATTCTAGAACCCAACATATGACCTGCTGTTTCAGAGTTTTAAGCCTCCTACTCAGAAATCTAGACGGGCAGTTGTAAGAATTTCAGAGAACGGTGCAGGATCAGGGAAGGAGGGAAACTTGGTTTCTAGATTTGGATTTTGGATCCACCGGGTTCTGTGGCTTCCGCCTTCATGGAATGATAGAATCATGGAGTCATGAAGTTGGAAGGGGCCCATAGGGCCATCGAGGGGGCCTCTGTGGGCCCTGTTTTTTTTTCTGAGGAGTTGTGGGGACAGACAGACAGACACAACACAAGAAAAGGTTTAACAAATATAAAATATGTCAATGTTACTTTCAAAGTACTGCTTCGAAAGCAGTAGACAATGCAGTTCTGTTTTGGACTGTCAAAATGTAAGGCGAACGTGTTCATTTTAAGGCATTATTTCCAAACTCTGCTTTAGTGCATGGACAGAGTTCCTACTCCTGTTCCTCTGAAGAGGCCGGCCACAGAAACTGGCGAAACGTCAAGAAGAACAACCTTCAGAACACGGCCAAAGAGCCCGAAAAACCCACAACAACCATCTGCTTTCGTGGCTTAAATACTCTCTCCCACTGTCAAACTCCAGAAACTGACTGAGGTCCAGGCTTTTTTTAGTCATCGAAATCATTACGTTTGCCACATGATGTTGTTTCAAGGAACTCGGGGGCGGAGATGAAGCGTCCTCGGGCGTCTTTAGTTCTGGCTGTTCTCCTGAAACAAATTCTTTGGAATGCGCACCCTGATTTCTCTGTTTCTCTTTTTCAACACACAGGATTGCGTGCAATTGAACCAATACAAGTTGAAAACTGAGATAGGAAAGGTAAGTTCCCAAAGCCTGTTTTTTTCTCTTTTAGGGTGCGGTGCCGGAGAGCTCCGTGGCTTAGAACCAGAGATGGGGGGGTTCGATTCCCCCACGGTGCCTCTTTGACAGGGATGGGGTTCGATTCCCCCACGGTTCCTCTTTGACAGGGACTCGACTTGATGAATCAGAGTTGGCAATGCCGGATTACGTAGATGGATGGTGTGTGATTCGGTGTAAGACAACTCCTTATGTGCCTAAAATCAGGTTACACAGCGATAACCCCTCAGCTTTCTCTCCGCGGCAGTAAAACTCCTATGCTTCCAGACCTGTCGCTGAGCAAAACCTTCCACCTTATTCTGATTTGGCCAGAATCCTGTTGCTGATTTACACTTACATAAGGGAAATTGCGTAAGTCTTGGTGGCAAATTGCCCTTCGTTAAGAAAGTGCTGGTTGTGTTCCTGGACGTGTGCATGGCTGGGAATGCAACCTGCACTGTGTTAATGAGCTGCAATCTGCTGCCAGAACTTATGCAGTTTCCATTATTATGCATGCATAAATCAACAATAGGATTCTGGCTGTGGTTGTTGTTGATAATGATGGATTTCTACTGCTATCACCGTTTGGTTCTATTTTCCCTTCCACCTGGAAATGTACGGCCTGGCTGTTTGCCCAGAGGATCCAGACAGAGGCAGCCAGGTCTTCTAGAGCATTTAATATAGCCAATTGCAGAGAATCTGAAAAGCCAGCTTTCATTAACCAGGCCTGGTTAATTCCCTATTTCCATATAAATGCCGTGTGCGTTGATTTCTTTTGACATCTAAAGCCTTCTCCCTGCGTGCCGCTGAAAAGCACTCCGAAGCCTGAACTACTTCATCACTGCGGCGCTGGATCGGCGCCAAGGCTGTGTAGATGGCAGAGTGAAGGGAGATGCCCTCGCAAGGCAGGAAGAGTAATGCTAGTTCAAATCTACTCTTTGTTCCAGCGAGATTCGTTGAAATTCATGTTATGGCCCAAGATCTGTTGCTTAGTATAATTTGATTGACAAATTGTGCCAGATTTTGGGGGGATTTTGTAAGCAGACTCTTCCTTAAATTCCACTGATTCCAATGGGCCTACTCTAACTCCAACTTACTGTGCTAAAGTCATTCAGTTAGAATAGGCCCATTTGAATCCAGGGAACGGTGGAGTTAGATCACGCAAACCCCATTGATTCCGTGGGCCTACTACTTAAGTGATCTGTAGTCAGGAACAGGATTTGAGCCATTTGGAAGCAACAAGATCCATTCAGTTCAATGGATCCATTCGACTTGGGGCTCTCAATGGTTTTAGCCCAGTAATACTGTTTTATTTGGGGCATCATTTGTGCACATGCTAGCTTACAGAGGAAAGGAAGGATAGATCCCTGCCCCAAGGAGGTTACAGCCTACGCTTAGATATGGGGCAGGCAACATTGTGGATGGAAACAAGACTTGCCTGAGCATGCCCCAAATCTGTAGGCTATTTCGCCTGTCAACAGCAGAGTTTGGAGGTGTTGTTTTTTGGGATTACAATGCCCAGTATCCCCAGCAAGCATGCCAGGAGATTCTAGGACTTGAAGTCTTCAAAAGGAGCCTTTCCAAGCTCTGATTTTAAAAAAGCAGGCCGCTGGGGTTTCATTAAAACACATTTGGCTTCTGTAAACTTGACAGGCTCCAGCTGGTTCAGGCCACGGGTTCAGATCCTGGACATAAACAAAGCAGCTTTTGACAGGTTAGGAAATGTCCAGGATGTTTTTCTTTTTTCGGTCTGGTGAAGATGGCGGTTGTAGTTAAGCACATCCAGAAGGCACTAAGTTAGGAGGGCTGCCCTGTTTTAGATGCAGAGTGGGTCACAAAAGTCCGTTTTCTTATCTATATTATCTGATCTAATGCAGGTAAGAAGAGGAAGGCGATCAACTCAATTGATAGCAAGGTGGAGCTTGTTTATAAGTTACTAGAGTCATAAAGTACAAGGCCAGGTTCCCCCAATTAAGTCTGCGAGGGCCAGCTTAATTGATGTTGCTGTTGTTTTTGCATAACGATGTGCCTTTTAAGTCGATCCTGCTTTACAGTGACCCTTTTCAGGGTTTTTTGCCAGCTTAATTGATGTTGCTGTTGTTTTTTCTGATAATAATAATGATGATGTGCCTTCAAGTCGATCCTGCTTTACGGTGACCCTTTTCAAGGTTTTTCAGGTAGAGAATACTCAGAAATGGTTTACCGTTCCCTTCTTCTCAAGACACCCTGGGATTCTGCAGCTGACCAAGGCTACCCAGGCTGGCTCTGCTCACTGCAGGGCCCGTGGGGGAATCGAACTCGGAACCTCCAAGACACCCTGGGATTCTGCAGCTGACCAAAGGCTACCCAGGCTGGCTCTGCTCGCTGGAGGGCCCGTGGGGGAATCGAACTCAGAACCAGCAGCCAGAGACCTAAACCCCTGAGCTATCCAGCCATACTGTGGTTATTTTTGCATGCCTGCTCCCATTTCGTTGAACGAGTCCTCAGCCATTCCTGCTCTTTCTCTTGTGTAACACGTCTCTAGGAAAGATTTAAGCATTTTTTAAAAAAGGATCAGACTCATTGTTTGCCCCTTCCATGGCTGGGCAAGGTGGCCTCAGGCATCCAGAAATTGGGGGTGGGTAGCAAGACGTTCAGGGAGAAAGCAGGGTGTTGCATGAGTTGCCTGCCATTTCCTTTAACTCGCCTCCCAACGTGGGGAAGGATGGGGACCCATTAGCCAATTGCTGGAAGCTTCGTGCCTGGAATAGAAGCTGGTCCTCTTTTGTTCGCCTCGGGCGGCCAGGTGTTGGGGGATGGCCTTGCTCCTTCCCTGCTCCATCCGCGGCACACTTAATTGCTAAATTGGGTCCAGGTAACTGGCAAGCGCGGGTGCAGCTGGTATCTCAGCTGGCCTTCTGGGAGAACGGCGCGGCAGCCAGCTCCTCCGATGGAGATAATTACTGTGTATATCAAAATATACCCATGGCAGAATTCCCGGCCCAGCGACACCTGGGCTCTGCGTGATGAGAATCGGAGACGTCCTTTTCCTCCGACCTTCGCTGAGACGGGAAATTGAAAAGCGGCTGTCACGGCAGCGAACGTTGAACCCGGAGGGAGCCCCGTGGACCTGGCGGAACCATGTTGTTTGCTCAAAGAGGATTCGCCGCGCGCGATTTGCGAATCCAAATGGCTAAGCTGTCGGCCTTTGAAAGAGCCGGCTGGTTCAATTTCGCACCCCGTTAGGGAGATTGGTTTTTGTCCTCGTAGATGTTTAAGGAAGCTTGGGGAGAAGTTTTCTTTTGAAGAGGAGAAACCCAGCTATTTTCAAAGATGTAAATGTCATCCATTTCATCCCATCTCTTCAATTGTAAACATTCATGACCGGACCTTTTGACGTTCAATCATTCATAGAGTCGTGGATAAAGGGGGTGTAATGACAGAGTAACAGACTAGGACTCACGAAGTCTGGATTAAAATCCTTGATCAGCCATAGGCATTCATGGTTTAATAATAATTATAATAATAATGATGATGACGACGACGACGACGATGATAAATAATAATAATAATAATAATAATAATAATAATGGGACATTCCTTCCAGTTTGGAGACCAACAGATAAAGCAAATGGCTTAAAATGGACATGACAACATTGTCTATGTATTTCTTTTTAGGGTTCCTATGGTGTCGTGAAGCTAGCCTATAATGAGAATGATGACCAATATTATGTAAGTATCTTCATTTCCCCCCCTTTTCTAGCCTTCTCACGTACCATGATCTTGGAGGGGGTAACTTCTCAAGAATCCGTATTTTGGAAAAGAACCAATCGTGGGTTTCCCAGCTCAGCCAAAGTATAATATTCAGACGTACAAGCTTCTCACTCAGAAGGAAGGAAGGAAGAGGGAGGGAAGAAAAGAAGGGAGGGAGGGAGGAAGGATGGGAGGAAGGAAGGAAGGAAGGATGGGAGGAAGGAAGGAAGGAAGGATGGGAGGAAGGAAGGAAGGAAGGATGGGAGGAAGGAAGGAAGGAGGGATGGCAGGGAGGAAGGGAAGGAAGGAAGAAGAATGAAAGAAAGAAAGAAAGAAAAAGAAAGTGAAATGAAATGAAATAAAATGAAAATAAAGGAAATATTAAAAGCACCATGCAGCCTTAAAAGATCTGGTTCCAAATTATGTAATTTGCTAACAGTTGGTTAGCTCCCACACACTGTCTTGATTGACAAGCGGCTTTTCAAGCCAAAATTAGATTTCTTGTTCTTATTGCTCCTTTTTTGGGAATTGTGTAATAACAATGCACTTTGAAAAGGGGGCGGCCGAAGGAGGGCGAGGGGAGGTTTCGTACCACCATGTCACACCGGGCGTCCTCTGAACCACCCCCCATTCTCACAGCTGGGAACAATTTGGTTTTTTTAATTCCCTGCCTTCCCATTGTATTTTTTCTTTTTCCAGAAAAGGGGGGGGGGAAACAGTTACAAATTAAACAGGGGAGTATTATTTTCATGTCTGTGAAGGGCCAGGCTAAGATACGCAGAGCCGTATGCTGTATTCTTTAAGAAACCCTGTAACATTGCCATTTTTTTTTGAAAATGTATTATTCTAACAAATAGGTAAACTTGAATTGTTATTACTGATTATCTTTATAATCATGATGATGTGCCGTCAACTCAATCCTGATTTATGGTGATCCTTTTTCAGGGTTTTCCTGACAGAGAATACTCAGAACTGGTTGGCCCTTCCCTTCTTCTTGGGGGGGGGGTAATCCCTGGGACGACTGTGCAGCTTGCCCAAGGCTACCCAGGCTGGCTCTTCTCTCTGGAGATGCACAGTGGAGGAATCAAACTCCCAATCTCTGGCTCCTCAGCCTGATAACTAAATCGGCCAGTTCAGAAGTGGTTTGTCATCCCTTTTTCTCTGAACTCACTCTGAGACGGTGCAGCTGGCCGAAGGCTACCCAGGCTGGCTCTTCTGAGATGCCTCAAACAGATGGCTCAAACTCCCAATCTCTGGATCTGTAGCCAGAGACCTAAAGCACTTAAATTTTCCAACCAGAGACCCTTAATAATATGAAGCTCTTAATCAATCGCTAGAAGTCCAAATTCCATTTTTCCAGCCCGGCGCCTCCAGAGGCCACTCTGGTCCCACCAAATAAAAAAAGAATCAGATGGCCACATCTTAGCCGGGCTAATCGCTGGCCATTTTGGCACGGTGATTCTGGAGGTTACAGTTTTTAAAAGTAACTTTTCCAAAATCCAGAAGTAACTTTTTCCCAAATCAAGAGTCACAAGAACTCCCCAAACGTGGTGCTATTGCACCGAGCCCTGGGACATAACACAGCTTTCCTAACAGTGTTTTCTCCCCTTTTTCTCTCTCTTCCTACAGGCCATGAAAGTTCTCTCAAAAAAAAAGTTATTGAAGCAATATGGATTTCCACGTAGGTACCTGTATTTTGTTTAATTATTTTTTTAAAAAAAATTAAACATTTTTTTTGAAAGTCAGGAATAATAATAATGTGTTGTCAAATCGATTCCAACTTATAGCGATCCTTTTAAAGTTTTTTTGGGGGGTAGAGAATACTCAAAAATGGTTGACCATTCCCTTCTTCTGGGGGTGCCCCGAGACTGTGCAGCTTGCCCAAGGCTACCCAGGCTGGCTCTTCTCCCAGTGCAGAATCAAACCCACAACCTCTGGCTCCCCGCTGTTGTCTCCTGACCACTATAAGCCAGTCCCCACTTGATGGCACATAACACCACCACCCAATTTTGGGCCAAGGTTTGGCAAAAAAAATCGGTGGTGATTTCAAATTACAGCCCTTTGGGCTTAGATTTGAAACTGATAGACGTACTTTTCAAAGTGGTACCTGTGTTAAGTCTGGGCAGGCGTCTCAAGAAGAAACGGAACACAAAGCAAAAGCAATAAAAAGAGAATTAACTGCTATATTTGAATGTAATTCAGTTCTAGCTGTGTTAAAATACAGTGGTGCCTCGCTTAACGACGATAATCTGTTCCAGGAAAATTGCCGTTAAGCAAAAATATTGTAAAACGAAATTAAAAACCCCATTGGAACCTGTTCAATGCGTTCCAGTGGAGTAAAAACTCACAGTCCAGCGAAGATCCTCCATATGGCAGCCATTTTTGCTGCCTGTATAGCGAGGAATCTGTCCCTAAACACAGCAGGGAGCCATTTTAAGCACCCGGCGGCCATTTTGAAACCACCGATCACCTGTTAAAAAAACATCGTTTTGCGAAGAATCGGTTCCCAAAGAAGGGAACCGATCATCGCAAAGCGAAAAAACCCTATTTAGACCATCGTTTTGCGATCACAATTGTGATCGGAAAAAGATCATCGTACAACGATTTTGTCGTAATGCGGGGCAATCGTTAAGCAGGGCACCACTGTATAGCAATTGGACTTTAAGGTCATCCAGTACAAGTTTTTGATTTAAATGTGTAATCCAGTATGCATAATCTCTGGGCAATCCCATTATCTCCGTGTCTTTTCTAAAACACTTCCTTATGGGTACCAACTTAGTTCCTCTGCACACGTAATCTATATGGGTGTCATTCTCGCAATGCAAAGTTGAAGCTGTAAGTTGAGCTAGACATGGTTCCAGCTGTGTGAGGTTCTCAAGGGAGAGCCATTTATGACCAGGGGTGCTGTCTTCCAACTGGGAAAGTGTCTTGGGAGGGTTGTTACGTTCCAGCTGCATATATTTGATATGCATTATTATTTGAATCACACAGGCAGCTTGGGGGGTGGAGTGGGAGAGCTCCCAAAGGGAACCCATGAATCATTTCTCTTCTGACGCTCTTCATTTCCTTTGCTGAAGGCCGACCTCCACCTCGGGGATCGAAAGCTGCGGCCGGTGAGCAGCCGAAACCGATGGCCCCCTTGGATCGGATTTATCAGGAGATAGCCATCTTAAAGAAACTGGATCATATCAACGTGGTCAAGCTGATTGAGGTTCGTTTACTTCTGCTGTGTCTGTGGGTACACTCAAGGAACATTTCTAGAATTCTCCCCGGGCTGAGAGTCTCCCTGGATTTGCAAAAACTGACTTCCTTTTAATCTTATCAACATTACACAGCCGGTTTGATAGTGCTTTCAATCTTCATGACTGCTGTATCCTAGTGAATTCCTGGGAGTTGTCGTTTGTCGAAATACAGTAGGGGACCCTGTGTTCTCGTATTTTTATATCTCTCCTTCCCTCCATTATTTGTCAATAAAAAATTCTCAGCACCTTCGACAAACTACAGTTCCCAGATTCTCCACCAAACTATCATTCCCGGACTTTTTTTGAGAGATCGGTGGCAATTCAGCTGGTCTACTTTTAGTGGCCATTTTGGACAGCTCTGCTTTGCATGGATCGAGAGGGGAGAAGGAAATCCGCAAACCGGAACCCATTTTTTTCTTTCATTCGATTTAGGTCCTGGATGATCCTGCGGAGGACAATCTATACATGGGTAAGTGATTCGTAAAAGCGAGAGACACAAACCAGATCAGACCAGAAGACTAGAGATGCGAAAATATAAATATTTAGATGTTACTGCGTTTTTCTGTTTTTCTATTCATCCTTGTTTCCTATCTCATCGTGAGGTTTGATCCGCATCAAGATTGCTGCCTTTATTGTCTTTTTCTCCGAGAGTCACATTTATCTATCCATTTTTCCTATGCATTTTCCCGCAATTGTCAAAAGACAGGATGTGGGTCTTCTCTCGACGAATCTCGGGGAGTGCAAAAGGCTTTGTCTTTTTTCCTACCGTAGGCTGATAAAATTCAGCATCCTGTTTTGCTACCACAGTTCTGTAGATGCTTCTGGGGAGCCGACACGTATGATAAAAGAGTCCCAACGTGGCTTCTCTTGCTGAAACATATTCAAATGTATGCGTATCAGAAGTCTATGCATATTTACTCAGGCATAAATCCTAGGATGTTCAGTAGAGATACCCACGGAGCTCAACCAGACTTTCCCCTGAGGGAGAAGATCACACATTAGGAGAAACATGCATTTCCTGTTCTTATAGTATTTTCCCTCCAGACACGCAAACAGTTCAAAGCTCCATGCCTTGGGGGGGAACCAGACAAGCAAGTGTTTGTCTGCCAGGACAAATTATGAAGCAAAAAGCAAGTGAACTTGTAAAATGCAGATTGAGGCAAGCTCGTTTGATACTAAAGAAAACAGCCTTTTACTTATCGGAGAGCGGTGTTTTGAGTGGTGTACTAACGGTATCATTCAGTTTACCTCAGAGAGGACAACGGGCTTTAAAACCTCTTAACTGATTGTCAGCTGTAATCTTTCTTTCCCCTCCTTTTGTCTCTTCCAGTGTTTGACCTTCTCCGAAAGGGGTAAGTAGTTTATAATAAACGGGACCTGTGCGTATGCCTTGAGTGAAGAGATGATGAGCTGTTGACACCTTTTGACTTGTGTGAAGCAGGCCTTCCTTTTGTCTCTCCCTGCTTGGAACAGGGTCCTGTTGTATATTAAAGCCTCATTCCTTTTCTGCCTTTTCACCCTTTAAGGTTGCTGATGTACATTTACTGGTTGGTTGGTTGGTTGGTTGGTTGGTTGGTTGGTTGGTTGGTTGGTTGGTTGGTTGGTTGGTTGGTTGGTTGGTTGGTTGGTTGGTTGGTTGGTTGGTTGGTTGGTTGGTTGGTTGGTTGGTTGGTTGGTTGGTTGGTTGGTTGGTTGGTTGGTTGGTTGGTTGGTTGGTTGGTTGGTTGGTTGGTTGGTTGGTTGGTTGGTTGGTTGGTTGGTTGGTTGGTTGGTTGGTTGGTTGGTTGGTTGGTTGGTTGGTTGGTTGGTTGGTTGGTTGGTTGGCTGGCTGGCTGGCTGTTTGGATGGATGGATGGATGGACAGACGGTTGGACGGTTGGTTGGATGGATGGATGGATGGATGGATGGATGGATGGATGGATGGATGGATGGATGGATGGATGGATGGGTGGATGGATGGATGGATGGATGGATGGATGGATGGATGGATGGATGGATGGTTGGACGGATGGTTGTTTGGTTGGGTTTTTATCCTGCCTTTCTCCCTTAGTGGGGACCTGGTGGAGACCCACATGTGCACATGGATAAAAAATTCTCCCCTCTTTCAGGCCAGTCATGGAAGTGCCGTGTGAAACGCCATTCACGGAAGAACAGGCTCGCCTCTATTTGAGGGACATCGTCCTGGGCATTGAGTACTGTGAGTAGGCAGCTACTTGGCTTCCTATAATGCATGCTTGAGTCACATCCAAGGTCTGCAAAAAGACAGGCAGGCTTCTAGAGCTCCGGAAGCGTTTCTGAAGCCAGTCTTAGAAGATGTCCCGCTTTCCAACATAGCTTGATTAGGACAGTTTGGAAAAACTTGGAAGCTTTGCTCGGCACATCCCAGATCATTCCCATCATGCCAACCTGGGAAATACTTCCTTTTGGGGGGGGGGCTGCAGTTCCTAGAATTCTCCAGCCTGTGAGGCTGAAAGAGGAATTCTGGGAATTTGGGTTGGAAGAGAAAAGAAACCTGGCTGTTTCTGAGTGCTGAGGTATGATCGGGGACCTGGCTCCCCTATCTGCTGAAATCTGGAGAGTCAAGAGGCAGAAATACAGTCAGGAGCAAGAACGTAGAGCCTTTTTAAACTTCTTTCACATTGGGCTCCTTTCTAAGTTGGCTTTCTTCTCAATGTTTCTATGACTCATCTGTTTCTTTTACTGTTTGTTGAATGGCATTTCATACTGTTTTCTCTCCTCCTCCACCACCCCAGGCAAATCTTAAGATATTCTAAACCAGTTTAAGCGGGCATTTTGCCTAGAAAGCTAATAATAAGCCCATTTGGAGCCTTTTTGAACCTATCAGAAATTTATAAAATAGGAGAGATTCTATCTATTCTCCTGATATGTTGCTATCAAGTCGATGGACTTAATCCCAAGTAGCGCTGCTGGATGTAAAATAATTTATGCTACGACCTTCTTTTAATGCGCTGTTTGTTTTACTTCTGCTTAGATCATTGTTTTCAATCACGCACGTATGTGTGTTTTTCTCGTGGATTATTTTATTTTATTTTATTTGCAACAGCATGGCGTCTCTGAGTCACGTTATTGTGACAGGGAAGAATCTCCATCCATCTGCTCTGACTTCTGATTCTTTGTTTCTCAGGAGCGAGCAGAATGCCGTATGTAGGTTTTTTCCTGCCCACGGGAACAAAATTCTAGATCCCAGTCAGTCATTCTCTCTCCTCCTTCCTGATCCTTCTGTTGGATCTATGAAATACCTGCCTACCTTCCTGGTTGACTGCCCTGTTGTTTGGCTGACTTGAGACTCAGGAGAAGTTTGGTGGTCCAGGGATAGGGAATTCCAGATGTTTTTGGATGTTGAGCATCAGAATCGCCAGCTAAAGTAACTAATAGTTTGAGGTTGAGGAAGTGGTTTTTCCATAACATTTGGGGTGGATAGAACGTCCTCATCAAGTGTAAGGACGTGTCCCTGGAGAATGACCAAGATCATCCACACTCTTGTATTTCCAATCACCATGTCTGGGTGTGAAAGCTGGGAAGGGAAAAATGGATTTGTCTGAAATGTAGTGCTGGAGGAGAGCAGTGTGCTGATACCCTAGACAGTCAGAAAGGCAAACACGTGGGTCCTGGATCAAATCAAGCCTGAATAATCTCTGGAAGCAAAAAAAACATTGAATCTGAGTCTGTCCTTCTTTGGGTACGTCATGAGAAAGCAAGATTCTCGGGAAAAGACAATAATGCTGGGAAAGGTCGAAGAGAGCAGGAAAAGAGGAAGACCCAATGCGAGATGGACTGACTCCCTAAAGGAAGCCACAGACCTGAGTTTGCAAGAGCTGAGCAGCACAGTGGAGGACGGGGCATTTTGGAGAAGGCTCATTCATGGATGACTTGAGATCACATGTCAACAAAAGCACTAACAGAACCTCCTCACTCGTAGCTTCTGATGGCAGAGGGCAAAACAGGTCAAGTCATGTCCCTTTTAGGAAGCGGAAACAGGTCACACAGTACAGTGGTGCCTCGCATTACGGCGTTAATTCGTTCCAGCGAAATCGCTGTAGAATGAAAATGTCGTAATGCGAAATTAAAAAGCCCATAGAAACGCATAAAAACCCGATTAATGCGTTCCTATGGGCTTGAAACTCACCGCCCAGCAAAGATCCTCCATAGCGCAGCCATTTTCGCTGCCCGTGCAGCGAGGAATCCATCCCAGAAAAGAGTGGGGAGCCATTTTTTTTAACCCGGTGGCCATTTTGAAACCGCCAATCAGCTGGTCGAAAATCATCGTTTTGCGAGAATCGGTTCCCGAAGCAGGGAGCCGATCATCACAAAGCGAAATTACCCCATAGGAAACATCATTTTGCGATCGCTTTTGCGATAGCAAAAAGTTCGTCGTAATGCAATTTTGTCATTCAACGGGGTGTTCATCTTGCAAGGCACCACTGTACACAGCTTAGCTTGAACGTGTGTCTGTCCCCTGGAAACCCAGGCTTTGTATTTTGATGAGACTTTTAAATTCTCTGCTGTGGTGTGGGAGAGTGCACTAGATGTCTCTAGAAGAGGATGGTAAGCGATGCACAAAAGCATGAATCACACGCTTTTGTAGGATGGAGCCTTGGCCTTTAAAGCAGTCTCAAAACTATGTCGTGTAGATACGTTTGTAGTCTAGTTAGACGGATCAAGGTATGGCTGGCAAGATCAAGGCAGAAGAAATCAGCACCACAGACAGCTCCAAGCAAGTCCTGCTTTCTTTCCTAGAAGGCAAAATAGGAGAACGTCCGTCCCACCAGGGAGATAACGCCAGTTAATGCATTATGTCACCTGATGGGGACTCATTGTTGTTTCTTTGCATCCAGGAGAAGCTGATGGGACTGTTAAAATGATCCTTCTCTGAGTTCTGTAGCGTAAGTCTATTGGGTAGAGGGATGAAAGACGGGAAAAGCATGGTCAGAACATAGGCCAAGGTCATGCCACAAATCGGAGTGCTACCAGATGAGGTAGTGGAGATTCTAGCCTCTGGCTTGCAGAAAGAAACATAGCTGTGTGGACCACGTTCATCTTGAAATACCTTCAGGAATACCTTTGTTGACCACTGAAAGACAGTCATTGTCCTAACTTCAAGGACGTTTTCTGTGCTACCATCTCATCAAGATCCCGGAAGGTCCCCCTACCTGCCAAAGTCTGCCTTTAAAGACGAAAGCGAAGGAGACGAACCTCGGTTGGAGAAAACTGGAGCCGGCGGAAGAGTGTGCGTTCCCCTGCTGTCATCTCCTTCCCGGAGACAACAGTAGGCTGAAGCAGAGCCTAGACCCTTCAGAAAGATGGGGAGGGAGGGGAATTGTATGAGGAAGAATGACGCACGTTGCACACACACACACACACAAAACCCTCATGGAGAGAAGGAGGGAGGGGAATTGTATGAGGAAGAATGACACACGTTGCACACAAACACAAAAAACCCTTGTGGAGGGAAGACATCTTAAGATGCCTGACAGCTGGATGAAGCCAAAGTTCGACACAAGGTTCCAACAGAGGATCGCTGAGATTGTGAGATTTTGCCCTGAGTGGCCGTAGGTGTGTGTGTGTGTGCGGGGGTTACACAAACCCCAAGCTGGTTAGGGACACTCCTTAAACCAAGTTGCTGAGAGTATTTCCAACCGAACCCACCCAAGTTCCTTCTTCTGCCTTCCTGCTTGATTGATGTTCTCACCTTGACGTTCTGCTAACAATGCATCTGGCTGAGCTTTCTTTAGACAGTCCAGCTGGTCAGACTCTGATTCATGGTGTGACCTTGGCTTGCGAGCTGGCCATTCTGTTCACCGGTTCCGTCCCACGGTCTGCCGAAATTCCCCCCTTGTGGTAACCGGCTCAGAACTGTCTTTTTCATTCTTGGATGCAACAGAAACGAAAGATAAGGGATAGGAGAGAGGGAGGGAGGGAAATCAATTTTCGTTCTCCCCAGACTTGCCATCATCGTGATCCTTTTGATGGCTGTATCTCCTAGAACATTTCGGTGGTTAATGTGGAGATTAACGTTGCTCCAGGGAGCTGTTTGAATTTGTCGGAGGAAGGAACGGGCTTAGAGAGAAGAACGGAAGGAATACGAGGACTGCTGCTTGAACCACAGGGAGCTTAGACACACTCCTCAAAGCACAATCCAATCCAGGGTTTGGGAAAAGTTACTACTCAGATTGGGAAAACACAGCAAAGGGAAATTCTGAGAATCACTGACCCCCCCAAAAAAGGTCTGTGTCTCATTCCATAAAACTGGAATGAAGTAAGTGGGGTGGAGAAGAAAGACCAAATTCTTCTTTTAACTTAAATTCTTAGAGTTGCTCTTTAAAAGAAGCTGCTTCTCGTACCCTTTTTTTGAGTAGCTGGCTGATTCCTACGCAAGAGTAGGCAATACTTTTATAGACCACTAAAATAATAATAATATAATCTGCTAGCTTTCGTTGATCGGGACCAACCACTTCATCAGGCATGTTATGTGACAAGCGTAACACTGAAAATATACATATAATACAACCTACAGTACAATTTGCGCTTTGTGATGACAACACAGATCCCTTTTCTTTCAACCGTCAATTCCCGTCGTCGTCTTACGCCGGCGTACCGCAAGGCCTTTTGATAGAATCGTAGAGTTGGAAGAGGTCTATAAGGCCATCGGGTCCAACCCCCTGTTCAAGGCAGGAATCCAATCAAAGCAGATTGGACAGAGAGCTGTCCACTTTTCTCTTCAATGCCTCCAGCGGTGGAGCCCTTACCCCCTCCCGAGGTCATTTGTTCTGTTGTCGTACTCCTCTAACAGTTAAGAAGTTTTTCCTGATATTCAACCGATATCTGGCTTCCTGTGGCTTGAGCCCATGGTTGTTGCGTGTCCTGCCAGTCTGGCATGATGGAGAACAGATCCTGCTCCTCCTCTGTGTGACAATATTTCAAGTATTTGGAAATTGCTATCCTATCTCCCCTCTTTTCTTCTTGTTCTTTTCTCAAGATGCCCGATTCTTTCAGTCTTTTGCACCAAATTCCTGCAAGTTGCAAGGTCAGCGTGGTTTATGGTGCCCCGAATCTCACAAGGGTCCTGCCGCCCCCCCTTTCCTTCCCAAAGTGCCCGGTGCTAGATTTCTCATTCCCGTCTTCCTTGAGCCGCCACTCCCGGGGCTGTGAAGCAAAGCTGATTGTGAAGGGCGCCTGTGACTGCCGCGCTGCGGCAAGCGCCTCCGCTAATCCCAGATAATACGGCCAAGCAGCAGCCTTAGCAGAAAACCCTCCGTGCGTGAGTGCCTTTCAAGGGCACACAGTATTTCCTTCTAGCAAACGGTGGGGAGCTCAGCTTCCCGCAAGGTGTTCATCAAGAAGCCGTGCCGGGCAGCTTCGTTTAGATGGTCTGCTCCCTTGCTTCCTTGAATCGCTTTGTATTTGATTAGAATGTTTAGTATATTATGGCTGATTCCACAATCTACAGACATTCTGCAGTCTGTCTGTCTTTCTTCCTTCTTTCCCTCCCTCTCTCCTTCTTCCTCCTATCCTTCCTCCCACGCAAGGTGTTCATCAAGAAGCCGTGCCGGGCAGCTTCGTTTAGATGGTCTGCTCCCTTGCTTCCTTGAATCGCTTTGTATTTGATTAGAATGTTTAGTATATTATGGCTGATTCCACAATCTACAGACATTCTGCAGTCTGTCTGTCTTTCTTCCTTCTTTCCCTCCCTCTCTCCTTCTTCCTCCTATCCTTCCTCCCATCCTCCCTCTCTCCTTCCTTCCTTCCTTCCTTCCTCCCATCCTTCCTTCCTTCCTTCCTTCCTTCCTTCCTCCCATCCTTCCTCCCTCTCTCCTTCCTTTCTTCCTTCCTTCCTCCCATCTTTCCTCCCTCCCTCCCTCTCCTTCCTTCCTTCCTTCCTTCCTGTGACAAACCCAGACCTACTGGGATATGCCACACGTTCACTAAGCTGCCACCAACCATTCCCTTTAAGAAGTCCTTCCTTCCTTCCTTCCTTCCTTCCTTCCTTCCTTCCTTCCTTCCTTCCTTCTCTCCCTCCCTCCCTCCCTCCCTCCCATTTTTCTTAAAATTTTATTGCAATATTTAACATATTACATCAGTAAACTAGCACTGGTGCTACAACTTGCAGATATTCTACCATTTCTGTTTCTCTCTCTCTCTCAAAAGGAATGGCTTTTGACTCCCCCCAAATTATGTGCCTACAAGACTATTGCTTTTTGCCCTTGGTTTGAATTATAGGGTTTTTCTTTCTCTATTCTTTTTATCCCGTGCCAGCGTAACGAATGAAGACAAAAAATGTCCCATGCTGTTTTCTCTCACACCGTGATGACTCGAAGCAAACATGACATTCTCTGGTTATCTGTTAGGTTCGCTCCCTTTGGGAAAGATATTAGAAGTCTTGGCGGGTTTAGTAAATAAGAGTATATCCCACCAAACTCCACTCCAGTGACAGCCCTACAAACCTTCCGTATACCTAGTGGGGTTCCGGAAATACCTAATCATTCACTAATATAATTCCCCTCCCCATACTAAGTAACTGTTTGCCCCCATATCCAGGAATTTCAACCACATGGTGTTTAAAAAGCGCTTGAAAATGAAGTACGCCTGTTTCAAAGCAAGATAACTGCTGGATAGCTCAATGTTTAGTTAATTGGTTTTGGAGCCAGAGGTTGGGAGTTTGATTCCCTACTGGGCCTATAAGAAAGAAGAGCCAGCCTGGGTGGCCTTGGGCAAGCTGCACAGTCTCAGAGAAAGGGAATGGCAAACCACTTTGGAGCCGGCTGGATAGTTTAGGGAATTAGGTATCTAGCTGCAAAACCCAAGGTTGGGAGTTCGATTCCCTGCTGGGCTTATAAGAGAGGCAGCCTGGGTGGTCTTGGGCCCGCTGCAGAGTCCCAGGGGAAACCCCCCCCCCCAGAAGAAGGGAAAGGCCAACCACTTCTGAGTATTCTCTGTCTCAAAAACCCTGAAAAAGGGCCATCATAAGTCAGAATAGACTTGATGGCGCATGATGAATATACTTTTGCTCCCATGCCCAGTTTGACCAGCTCCGCCACAACTTTTTCCACTTACTTAGCCCTTATTAACAGCTTCCATGCGCAGACTTGGCAAACAATTTAAGCAGAACCCCTTTTCCCTTCCTCGAACGGCAGACGGTGGGGCGAGAACAGGCTGCAGCGTTGCTCCCGGCCAATATTGAGATGCAGATCACATCCATGTGCTGAATTCCCCCCCCCCGCCCTGCGCCATGCGCAAGGGAAGAGCTGAGCAAAAGAATCGGACTTTGGATTCTTCCAGATTTCCCATGCCGAAAGTCCCACCACCACCCCCTGGGAGCTGGGGACAAAATTTCTCTTGATTTTGCTGGCGCAGAGTCTCGGGGGGTCGCTGGGGAGAAACAGCGGGAGGATCAAAAAAATAAATCATGAAACAGACCCTGTCGTTTGAGGAGGAATGGGTTTATGACATGGCTTCCCCTCACTCTTGTGATGATGATTTGCTGATTCATTTCTCTGGCTCTTCCCTGTATTGACTTTGGGAATAAATCCAGCAGCGCTCGGTGAAGCTTGCAGATTTACAATGCGACAAAACAAATTATAGAGTTATTACGGAGAAGCACATGTGAATACCATCTCCGATGGCTTAAGGGGTGCCTTCGTCCTGCCTTGAGGGGTGCGTGGGGTCCCTCAAAGGTCCTGGGCATAACTTTTGTGAGTGTCCATATTGCCAGGAAAGAAAGAGGGACAGAATTAGGTGTTTATAGCCCCGGGAATCATCATCTTCATGATGTTAGAACTGCAAAGCTGGATGGGATCCAATAAATCATCAAGTCCAGCCTCTGTCAAAGAGATCCAGTGGGGGGAATCGAACTCCCCACCAGACCTTGAGCTATCCAGCAGTTGAGCATCAAAGGGGCCAAGTTCTCAATTTTAAGGCTGTTTTCACTGGAGGATTAAAAAAACAACAACTTTTTCTCCCCTTCACTTCCAGTTCCAAAAAAAGAGGAAAGGGTTAAAATGTTGCTACGAAATGGGAGGGTTCAGACCCTCAACAACTTCCCCCCCCCACTCCTGTGTCTGAAAATACCTTCTGTTTGACAATCTGTCAAATCAAATTCTGCTTTTGAAAATTAAGGTAAATTTAATAATAATAATAATAATAATAATAATAATAATAATAAACCAGACCTTAAGAAAGGAGAGTAGGAATCATAGGGTAATGGAGTTGGAAAGGGCCTATAAGGTCATCTAGTCCAACCCCCTGCTCAAGGCAGGAATCTAAGTCAAAACAAATCTGACGGATGGCTGTCTGATTTTTCTCTTGAATGCCTCGAGGGTTGAAGCGCTCACCACCTCCCAAGAGGTTCCATTGTCGTACTGCTCTAACAGTTAGGACATTTTTCTTGATATTCAAGTGAAATCTGGTCTTCTTGTAACATGAACCCATCGTGATATGTCCTGCAGTCTGGGATGACTGAGAACAGATCCTGCCCCTCTTCTGTATGACAATTTAACACTGCAGATTTCCCATCCAGCACACAATTCCCAGTGTCCCTGATTCCCAGTGTGATGTCGTGGGACAGAGTCTCTGGAGAAGAGAGTTCAAATCTAGATTCTCGAAGGCTTTCAAGGGTTCACATCCCCACTTAGCCATAGTAAATTCACTTGGAGATTCGAACCGGTTAAACCACCTCGGAAATCCCTCTCTGACCTTGAACACCCGCTTGAAGTGGCCAGAAGTAGATTCCATCTTGACATCACAAAAAACACACACACTTTTTAATGGGCCGCTCCTGTAGCAACTTCTGAACGGCTTCTTTTGGGTTTTTTTAGTACATTATCAGAAGATCATCCACCGAGACATCAAGCCGTCCAACCTGCTTCTGGGGGACGACGGCCATGTGAAAATCGCCGATTTCGGGGTGAGCAACCAGTTTGAGGGGAACGACGCCCAGCTCTCTAGCACTGCGGGGACCCCCGCCTTCATGGCCCCTGAAGCCATTTCAGATTCGGGGAAGAGCTTCAGCGGAAAGGTAGACGCCTCTTTCTCTCTTTTATTTTCTGCCTGTTAAATTTTGCCTTTCTTTCAGCGAATTCAGGGTGTCCTGGGCTGTTTGCCTTCTCCCTATTTTCTCCTCATAACAATCTTAGGAGGTAGGTCAGGTGAAGGGATGACGACTCTTTCAAGTTCATCGAGCAGGTTTTCTTACCAAGCAGCAGAAAAGTGGTTTCACTAAGGCCTGCCCTATCCGTGGTTCCTAACCATGGGCCCCCCCAGATGTTCTTAAGACTTACAATTCCCAGAAATCCAGGCCGACACAGCTTGGGGTGAAAGCTTCTGGGAGTTTGAGTCGTAGCTGGTAGTTCATGCCAAATTAATGATTCGCTGATCTTCGGAGAAGCCACAAAGGGGTCTCCGCTGCTTTTCTTCTGAAGCTTGTCAGGCTGAGGAAGTGAGAGATTCTGGGTCACATAACTCATAGGATTTGAGCCAGGAACTCTCACTTCTCCGTCTGCTCTCAGATTCACGGGAAAGAGGTCAAGCTCAGTTAAAAAAAAGTGAGGTTAAAATTAGTAGTGCAAGAATCTCAGCATGACAATTCCTAACCATCAGGAGAGTTCAGACATGCAGCGATGGCTGGACCAGGCTGTAGGAGTAATCAAGGAGCAGGTTTTTGGTAAAGTTCAAGACAGGCTGGCAGCTCTAAAGTCCCGAGGAAAAGTGGGAAGCCTATGGGTGGGCTCACATCACAGTCCCTGCAGCTGAGAGGGGAAATAGAAGGATATCTTGAATTCCATACTGTAACATTTCGTTGCAGCTCACACGTGTCTGACGAGCTGAGCCACTTTCAGACGCCCACCCTCTGACGTCTTCCACACACTCCGGTACCTCAGAAATGGCGTATTGCTCACCTTGCCTAATTAATTTTGTGTGATTGCTTCTTTTCAGGCCCTGGACGTCTGGGCAATGGGAATCACACTCTTTTGCTTTGTGTATGGAAAGGTAAGCATTGTTATTAAAGGGGGAGCATGGTTTGGGGGCTGAGGAAGCGGGGCGGGGAGTCTAAAGCAGGGCTGCCCACATTCAGCTTATTTCCCAAACGCCCTGCACGTGGGACTCCGCGCTCTGGGTTCATCATTAAGTGTCATGGAACAGGGTGAAAAGGGTGGGAAGTGTCAGAACCAAGACAGCTCTTTCTTATTCGTTCCTCTTGACTCACAAGAGGAACAAAATCAGGCAGGAAGCACCCATAAACATGAAGTAATTCAGTAACTAAGCACTGAATCCAACAAGTAACTAAACATTGAATCCAACAAGTAACTAAAAGTAACTTAGCAATAACTTCAGTAAATAACTAATTAAGCGGTACATTAAAGATGACACTAAATAACTAAGTAATTAACTTAGCATTAATTAATTAGTTGCGCCTTAGTTTTGTGTCTATCCTGTAGTGATGGAGAATCTTTGGCCTACAAGCCTAGTCTGGTCCATGGAGATTTGCAGTCCCAATTCTTGATGCGGTTGAGATGGTCCATGGAGATTCTGGTTATGAGAAAGGGGCGCTCTTCCTGTTCGGAGAGACGAGCAAATCTCCAATGATCGGGATATCAATAAGGCACAGATTTGAAAACATAACAATGAATGGAAAGAAAGATCCGAAGAGGAACTGGCCAAAAATTCTTCAGTCAGTTGACTGGGGATTCTGGGAATTGTAGTGCTTTTTAAAAAAATCATCCCTTTCCAGAGCTGTATTTCCAGGCTTCTTAAGGGGGCAGAGATAGTTACAGAAATTTTCATCCGTAATGGAAGCAGAGTTTGGGCTTCTCCCGATTAGAAAAGATTCACAATCATTGCTTTGTTTTTCAGTGTCCTTTTATGGATGACTTTATCCTGGCTCTTCACAACAAGATTAAAAACAAGCCTGTAGAGTTCCCGGAAGAGTAAGTAAACTTTGCACGGGAGTATGAACAAATCTCTCACGTACTTCGAAAGCTCTGTTATGGTTGCTAGAAGTCAGTTCCGGTTTTATGGTTCGTAACAGGCAGAATAAAGAGACATTGTAGATGAAAAACGAGGTGTGATCTTTGGTGTTTAGGACTGCCCTTCCCGAAACTGTCCAAAAATTCTGGCAGTTGCAGGCCATAAATCTGCACCCTGTAGGTTTTGTTCCCCTGGAGAAGGGCTTTCATGTTATTTATCTGCATCATTGGCTTCTTCAGTCTGTGCTTCCAGTTGTTGATTTTAGAAACAGAAAGGTGTTACAATGCTTCCTAGCCCTGGTGGTTGCTGTTCTTGACACCCAGAAGCCGAAGCTCAATTGCCTTCACTCGGGATGTTCTATCTTCACTTGGTATTGTCTTAAAGCCAAATTGGAGTGAGATCAAACCTGCCCGTCCCTCCATCATTTGAAAATCTCGAGGTGTTTTTTATTCTCATGCTACCAATAACTTGTAGAAGGAGGTAATAGTGGGTGGTCCCTTTTACTGGACCACTAGAAAAGCAAACAAATGGCAAGATTTCATGGAAAGTTCACTTTGTCAGGCTAAGCACCACCACTTGATGCAGAAGAATTGTAGACGGATCGCAAACCTCTCCAAACAGACTTAGCACAGACATCTGCCATCAATTTTTGGGGATGTGTGTCTACAGTTTCTCTGCATTATCCATACGGGGTGGTGCCAAGCCTGAAAAAGTGGGATTCTCTCCACGAAAGCTTGCAATTTGTTTGATTTTTTTCCCCTTGTGGTTCATTAAAAGGCACCACCCGCTCTTACATTGGTGTGATCTTAAGGACAAAAACAGCCTTTTCCGAATTCCTTCTTGTAGAAGGATGGTGCTGTTTTGGCTGCGCCGACATTCGCACTCTTAGCCTTTCGTCTAGCTAGCCTAATCTTGGGTCCCCACGTGGTCCTGGACTACAACTCCCAGAAATCCTGGGCAGCACATCTCAGGCTGAAGGCTTCTGGGAGTTGTAGTCCAAGAGCCTCTAGGGACACAAGATTAAGCGAGATAGACGAAGCATCCAACTCCATAGCACGCAGCTTCCTGTGTTTATAACAAGAGAAATCTCTCATCTTTAGGGAGCTGAAGTTTTTCTGGCAGATCATTTTGCCGTTTCCCCCCAGATCCTGGGCGTTTTGCCCGCCTTCTCCCATCTCGTCATATATTTAAGTTTATTAGTCAGCTGGCAAGTGACTTTTTCTCTCCCGCTTCCCCAGGAGGGACTGGGTTTTAATGGGCCAACTGGGTCATGCGGCATAACCTTTTCCTTCCTTCCTCACATCGCCTGGGGTAATAAACTCTCCCTGCTTGGCTTATTTTGACATCCTCCTGACCTTCCCTCTGCCGTCTGAAAGCACCTCTCTGCTCATTAGTGTGGGATAAAGGAGAGAGAGGATGATGGCACATTGACTCCGTGTTTAAATGAAGCCCATTAATTTCATAAAGCCGGTAAGAGAACTAGGGAGAGAGTAGGAGAGAGCTGTGATTTCATTTCCTCAGATGTGGAGAGAAACCAGTCGGTCACAAATTTACTCAGCACCCTTGCTTGTCAGATTTTCTAGGGTTATAATTGCCATCCTTTTCCATTCTGGGAGGCCTACCAAACCTACAGACACCTTTAGTTCGTTACATGCCATCAAATCGGAACCGACTTATAGCGGCCCTAATAGGGCTCCCAAGGTAAGTGAGATATTTAAGGAGTGTTTTTACTAGTTCCACGCAGTGAGCTTCCATGACTGCGAGGACTTGAATCCAGATCTCCAAAGTCCTCGTCCATCGCTCTATCCGCTACACCAGTGGTCCCCAACCTTGGGCCTCCAGATCTTCTTGGACTTCAACTCCCAGAAATCCTGGCCAGCAGAGGTGGTGGTAAAGGTTTCTGGGAGTTGTAGTCCAAGAACATCTGGAGGCCCAAGGTTGGGGACCACTGCACTACACCACACTGGGGACCTCATAAACAAAACGGAAGTTCCCAGCTAGCACTGGGGCAGGAACAGGAAGCTTGGGTGGGGCTAGGCCTAGTTTGGCTTCAGGGCCTTCTATTGAAGGCCTTTCTTCCAGGTGAGCCACATTGAGGTGAGTGTAAGGTGTCTGTAGGGGAGGTAGAAAAACCTCCCCACCCCCGAATGGAGAATTGCAGTATTTGAAGGCCAGAAAATCTGAAAATCCCATCCCTGTGGTTTATGTATTCACCCCTGAAGTTCATAGGTCAAGAAGAAAAATTGTTGCAATACTGTACCATTTTGGTATGTTTTTTAAATTTCCATTTCATTCTGGGTTGAAGGGGCTTTGTGGCTTCCCAAACAAGATGATGATGATCCTGGAGAGAGTCTTTTTTGGGGGGGGGAAGGTCAAGCAGCAGCGGGGTGTAACGGTTAGAGCACAGATGAGCAAGATCAGAGCACTTTAGGTAACAAACTCCAGAGGTTCTTGAACTACATCTCCCAGAAATCCTGGTGAAGGCTCCTGGGAGTTGTAATCCAGGAATATCTAGGGACCCAATGTGGGGAGCTATAACTTCCTTTTTATTGTAACTAGAGTCCAGGAAACATGAGTGGTACATTCCTAGTTTGAACAAAGTAGTAAATGTTGGCTTTTGGTTGCTTCTGTCCTCATCAAGTGTTTCCGGTTTTCTTTCCACCAGGCCCTGGATCAGTGATGAGCTCAAGGATCTGATTCTGAAGATGTTGGAGAAAAATCCTGAAACCCGGATAACTGTCCCTGAAATTAAGGTAAGTGTGGCAGTGTGGACTTTTAGTTTAGATACAAGGGGCACCACCTAAACAGCCCCAAAGCTTATGGTCTATGGAATATGGTTTCCAACATTATGGAATATGGTTTCCTAAATATTTCATTCACGCCAATATGTTTAGTGGATCAGGGGTATTAAAAGAGAAATAAGACAAACTACATCAGTTCAGCGCTTAGTGGATCAGGGGTATTAAAAGAGGAATAAGACAAACTACATCAGTTCAGCGCTGTAGCACTAATGGTCTGTCATGACCATCTCCGTTGTCTATCTTGTCCCTCTGTAGCTGCATCCTTGGGTAACCAAGTTTGGAGATGACCCACTTCCTTTAGAGGAGGAGCACTGCACCATCGTGGAAGTCACTGAAGAGGAAGTGAAGAATTCGGTCAAGACAATCCCTAGTTTACCTGCCGTGGTGGGTAGTTTTCTTGCACACTGTTTCGATGCACCATGGGACAAGCTGGCCCTCTTGTCCAGCTTATGTAGGGGTGTGTGTGTGTGTGTGTCAAATCCCTAGTTTACCTGCCGTGGTGGGTAGCTTTCTTGCACAGTGTTTCGATGCACCATGGGTCAAGCTGGCCCTCTTGTCCAGTTTATGTAGGGGTGTGTGTGTGTGTGTCGAACTGACCAGTTAAGCATTTGCTGGGAACTAACCCGTTGCAAACTTGCTTGAAAGTAATTAGTTATAAACTTGCTTGGAAGCAGTTACAAAACTCTTTGGAACTTAATAGTTACAAGCGTACATGGAAGTAACTAGTTATAGGCATGCTTGGAAGTAACTAGTTACAAACTTGCTAGGTGCAAATAATGCATTATGTGCAATCAGTTCCTAAGAACAGCGACATTTTCTCATTAATCGTATTGGAACAAGGATGATTCCTTCTACCGCACTATACTTACTTTTTAGTTACTTAGGTAGTTAAGGAGTATGACTTCACTCAACGGCATGAGAAGAATACGAAAGCGTTGATTCCATTACTACTGTTTCAGAATGGTTTTCATTGAGTTTTGACTTGAGGCAGGCTCAGTTTTTGCTACGAAATCAACTCATCCCTTAAAAAAAGGGGGTCTCATTTACAAATCCATAGGATGTGTTTTTCTCCCTGAAATCAATCTGTTTTTCCCGATTTCTTTCTTTCTTTCTTTTAATTCACCTAAGATTTTAGTGAAAGCCATGCTGAGGAAACGCTCCTTCGGCAACCCCTTCGAGGCTCAAGGCCGACGCGAGGAAAGATCCATGTCAGCGCCGGGAGATTTACTAATGTACGTATCTTCCTCGTTAAGCGCAATCAAGGCTTTTCTGAATTATAGTGACCCTACAAGGCTTCTGAACGTATGGAAAATGTTCACTTTCCTATGGCCGCTTCCCCAGAGAGTTTCCATGGCCGAACCGGGATTCGAACCCAGATCCCGAGTCCTCGTCCATCACTCTATCCACTCCACCGCACTGTCTGTCCTGTATCTCTACACCCATTTTTTTTGTTTTGTGTTTGCTGGCATGATTTCCAACCCTGTGCTTCTATGACTAGAACGATTCCATGGAATAATAAAGACATTGGATACATCCTATGGGTTTTTTTGGTAGAAGGACTTTCTGCTCTACCTTTAATTTGCCTTCAAGTCAATTCTGATTTGGGGTGGGGAATACACGGAAGTGGTTTACCTTTCCCTTCCTCGGGGGAGTGTGTTTGGAGAGAACCTTGTTTGCGTGAGATTGCATTATGACTCGGAAGATGTGGCTTGCTAAGTCAAAGCAAAGACCAGTTTCAGATCTGTTCACTGATGGGAAATAAATAACCTGGGGATTCCCCTGCAGCCTACCTACTTTCCCAGATGGGAAGGCAGTTGAGTCCATGGTGGGGGTAGTAAAATCCCCATGTTATCAGTCCATCATTCAGTCATAGGGGCCCCTATGCACTCTCCTTGCGATTGGGTTTTTCAGGGTGTTTTCCTCCACACAGCAGAAGTACTGGAGAAACTAAGTGTGGCTAGTGGACGTGGGACTAGATGATGAATCAGAGCTCTGCCTCCTGAGCCAGCGGAGGAGACTGGCTCCAATTCCATGGGAGCAGCAAACCCACTCCAGGTTTTTGTGTGAGCTTACAAGAGCTCTCCATGGTGCTGAACCTCCAAGTTCACTCCATGGTTTGGCTGGAACTTCACACAAGGTATGCTAGATGCTGGGCCCTAAGCATGCCCTTGGGAAGCTCTCGTAAAGTTCAGACTAAAACATGGAGTGGATTAGGGCTTCCTCAAAAGTGGAGCCAACAGACTCTCCAGCACCAAGTCCGTCTGACTGAGAAGAAACTCCAGATTGAGCCATCTGTTGAAGGCGTTGTTTCTTTTGCCTGCCCTGATGGATGCCCAAGTCTAGATTCCACTTCCTCGTCATTTATTTCATTTTTTTCTCCCACCTCCATCAGAAATGTTATTCCCTCTGCTTGGCTCTGCCTAATGCTGTCCTTTTGCTCTCATGCATGCATATAATCTTATTATCGGGTTGTTTTTTTCTGTCCCCCGCCCCTCTTTTTTTTCATCCCTTGTTTCCAGGCACGGTTTTCGGTTAAGCCCTTCTGTTTATTTGCACCCATCTTTAAGGTAACTCATGTCTGTGTTCCTGCCGCGTGCGGTGGGATCACCCCTTCCCCCATCCATAAATTTGTGGTGCCTGTAAATTTGTGAATAGAATGTGTTACTTATATTCTTAGATAATTAAGTTTGTTCCAGTTGTGTGGTGCTAAATATTCATTCAAGACGTCCCCTCCACTATCAGTCTTCATCCTCTGTGTTGTCTGTTTCTCTCATCCTTGGCTTTCGAATATTTTAAAATTTATTTTTTTTCTCTTGTTTTGATATATTACATTTTAAATCTTGTGTCTCAAAGATGACTGAGGTTAAGAGGACTCAGATCCCAGAACTGTTTATTTCTTTAATTGGTTCCATTCCTATCCTGCCAGTTAGCTGAAGGAGCTGTGTAGGATGTTCATTCCTAGTTTAGCCTCACGACAACCCTGTGAGGTAGAACAGAGAGAACGTGTGAGGCATTGGGGGGGGTGCGGGGAGAGGTTGAATGTTATTTACCCGGTGAATTTGCTTCTGTCCATTACGTGCAGAAAACAAGGAAGCCGGGAAGCGATCAAAGATCCCCACCTGCCTGATGTGGACGAAGACGAGACAACTTCTTGAAGCTCTGAGCATGTCACGGAGCAATTCTTCAGTTGCTGCTGTTACTGTCACTGTTGTAACCGGTGGTGTTGTCTTGCACGCCATGCTGTTTCCATCAACCAAAGTTTTTGACTTGCAGGAGGAGAAAAGGGGTGTGTGTGTCAAACTAGATGGGGAGGAGGTTGCGTATTTCCAGCAAGTAACACATTTTCTTCCCCATTGACCATCAGATTTCTTGACGGATGTATGCCTCACCAATCCGATTGGCAAATTTAAGTCTCTGCTTAAGTTCCAGTAACCAATCACAGAGCACGGTGCTTGAGGGGAAGACCCGAAGGGAAAGGAAAAATCGATGGTGGGACAAACAGATGTCGTTTGCCAGTTGGAGGAGCACCTCTTCCTCACACGGGCTAAGCATATCATCTAGTTTGATTCCAAGAGAGAGGTCATCTGCACTGTACGTAGGATTGAAGGGAATGAACAGATAAAAATGATGCCCCAATTGGTGGAACAAGTAAGGATACATAGGACAGTGGCTTCTCTATGCCCTGGGCGTATGCATTCATTCACATTGCAAGGTTTCGTGTGGCGTGCCTCATTTTCCAATAGTGTTTCGTGTTGTGTTTATGTGATTAGCGCACTCTGGTGATTAGAGTGACGAACGCACATCTCTTTGGTAAAGGTAGCCAAATGTTCTTCGTTTAAGGAACTGCTCAGTTAAAGCCACCGTTTTCCAATTTTACCCTGTAAGATAGGCAAATCAGGCTCGCTGTGTTTGCGCTCCGGGGGCTGCGCCGATTCTTGCGGGCGGTGGCGAGAGCTCCTGGCTCTGATCACTTTGTTAGGACAGGCCTCTGCGGCTAACGACCTGGCTCCTGGAGGCTCCTAGATAGGTCCCCCAGACCACAATCCTATGCCCGGGGGGGGGGAGAACCTAAGACATAACACGCAAACCATACGTTGCTGGCATTCGAGAATTAGAAGGGATCTAAAAAGGGCACCCCTTAAAACCATTGCTTGGGATCACACACTTTGCTGCTTGTGTATTAGTGTCGTAACTGTGCCTTAATTATTATTTTAAGCATTTCAAGGACCCCAACGCAAGGCTGAGTATCCATGATTTGATGTGTTTCGGGGAGGGGGGCGTTTTGCTGCTTTGAAGCCTCCTCCTCCCGGTGCCTGTTCTGTGTCTGTATTTTACATCTCTCTCTTGTGCTCAGATTAAGAATATATGTATATGTGTATATATAAATCTCTCGCGCTCGTCGCCCTAAAAAAACCAAAAGCTTGAGGCCAGCTTGTTGTAAATAATGTATGATGAACAGAGAGCCTATTTTTGAGGGGGGGGATTTCTTTTTGCATGTTTTTTACTCTTTAAAAGAACGAAGAGTGGAAATGCCAATTAAAAAAAAACATCCTTGGAGTAAAAACCACTGGCAGAGTCGTGCGTTGACGATCGGCGGTGCCGTGAAATCCCGCGAAGGGTGGGGGTCCTCGGCCACCAGATTGGGGGGCAGGAAAGGGGGCGGCCGCCGTAACCTCCCTCCGCTCTTTCCCTGTGCTTAAGGAGATGGACAGATGGACTAAGGGCATTTATTAAAAATCCATCAGGTCTGTCAATTCAATTCTGACTTAAGGCAATCCTTTTCCTGGGTTTTCCAGGTCGTTAATAATCAAAACTGCTTTACCGGTCCATTCCACTAGGGGCGCCCTGGGACGGTGCAGCTTGCCCAAGGCTACCCAGGCTGGCTCTACTCAAGGGAGGCACCGTGGGGGAATCGAACTCCCAACCTTTGGCTCCATAGCGAGACCCTAAACCACTGAGCTATCCAGCCAGCTCAGAAGGGGTTTCCCATTCCCTTCTTCCAGGGGTATCTCCGGGACAGTGCAGCTTGCCCAAGGCTACCCAGGCTGGCTCTTCTCCCAGTGGGGAATCGAACCCCTGACCTAAACCAGCCAGAGACCTCAACCACTCTGCTACTCCGTTCAATACAGTGGAATCTTTTATGTGGTTTACATAAAATCTCTGCGATGGCCAGAATCTTTCCAGCTACTGCTGTAAATTTCAGTGGCGTACATTTCCGCTAGCTAGCATTTCGCCGTTTGTCTCGTTTGCCCATCGTGTGGATTGGAGGTACGATGCTGGATAGAAGCGACGACTTATTAACGAGCATTATTTTGCTACTATGATTTTATGCCCTTGCACTTAACGCCACCAGCTTCGTTAACCGCTAGGATCCTGGCTGGGGAAGTATGGAAGAATTTCAAAACCGCCCGGTTCCAATTTAGTGCAAGGAATAATAGGACCATTAGATCAATGGCTTAATGACAAGTCAATCCTTATGTAAACAGTATTGAGTCAATGGGTCTACTCTCGCTGGGGAATCAGCAGCAGGATAGTGCTCTAAAAGCCCCAGGAAGATTTTTTAGATCCTCCGCACTTGGGATCAGATGGGTTTCCAGGCCAGAGAGGTGTTAATTCCCGGATGGGCCTGATCCACAGCGACTTTCCTTTGAGGAAGGACCCTGTCGGCAGGAGAAAAGCACCATCCTGGTGCCCTCTGCTGGACTGAAAGATTAATTTTTTTCCCTAACATGGACCACGTCCAGCCACAGGCAAAGAGCCATGTCAGTTGTTTCAATGCACGGAAAACATAATTATAAATATTGTGGTCCTCTTGGGACTGTTCTTTCAAATGGAGGTTTCTGTGGAGTAGAATTCACTTCCTTGTGAAGCCATGAGAGCTTATGGCTCATCATATGCCATGTTTGTGTCAGCAGGCATACTTGGATTGTCTGACTTAACAGAGGCAGTAATACCATCTATTCCCATCTTTTATTGGGCTTCCCTTCCCCTTCCCTGGGCCACATTAGAAGATGAAAATTTGGATTGGGCCGCACATACATTTGGTTTGGGCCGCATGGGGGGGGGGCAGCCCTAGCCCCGCTCCAAGCGTGCTTACCGGCAGCTGCAATCTCAGCAGAGGCTGCCACCTTTGACTCCAGTGGCTTTATGGGGCCAGGAGGGGGTCCACCTATTGACAGGGACGGTGCAATGCAGTCATGCAGCTCACCTCCCCTCCCACTCCTTTCTTCCTTCCCTCTCCCCCCACTACCACTGTGACGTGCCCTGGCCACATTCTGGCCGCAAGCACCAGCAGTGTAACTTGAAACTTTGGAATTCCTTTTAAAATAAAAAATTGCACTGGGCCACATTACAAGCTGACCTGGGCCGCATGTGGCCCTCGGGCTGCAGGTTGGACAAGCCTGATCTATTCCCATCTTTTATTGGGCTTCCTTGTTTTCTCTGAACGTAGCTGCAATCCTCATTGTGGGGTGATGGGTTTCAAGGCCCTATAGGGAAAGGAGACACGTGGAAAGCTCATTTGTGATCCAAAAGGAGGTAAAAACCCTGCATACTTTTTTTCTGCTAACTCTGGATCGCTCCGTGGTTGAGGTCTCTGCCTGCAGAGACAGAGGTTATGGATTCGGTGATCCATAGGGACCCTTTCCAGTTGTGCAGTTCTAAAATTAGCTAACCACCAAGCTAACCAAGATTCAACCACCATCAAGCTGAAAAATGGTGCATCAGGAAGGAAAGCACAGATGCCCGGGGGGGGGGGAAGAGGGAAATATTGCCGAATAATTCATGGAGAAAAACCTTTGCTCTTTCAAACTGTTTGTTCTCCTTCGCTGAAGATTGACTCATGGTTAAACATTAGGTTTCTTCTCCTTGAGCAACTTATGTTCACAGATGAGAGAGGTCTCATCATTTCTCCCTAGGAGAACCATGACTGAAGGCCCCTGTAAGAATACAGGCGTGAATTCAACCGGTGATCCCCAACTTAAGTGGGCCACTGAATCCCTGGGACTTATGGACATGCAGATCAGCCATGCAGGGACTGATTTAACGAGTCTGATCCGGCTGATACTAGCGACTCGAACGATGCTTTAGGAAAGCTGCCTTACAGTAAAATCGCTGGTTTACACAGCACAATACTATATACACTATCGGGGGGGGGGAATGGACACCCGCCCCGCAGCTGTTCTTAAACCCCTGGACCTAAAATGGTTAGAAACCAATGATTAATTTTATTTAAAAAATCAATTTACGCCCCACAGCTGTTTTTAACCCCCTGGACCCAAAATGGTTAGAAACCAGTGATTAATTTTTTAAAAAAAATCAAATACACAATGTAATTTTTAAAAGGCTTTTTTAAAAATTTAAAGTGTCAATTTTTTTAAAGAAAAAATTAAATTGCAATTTAAATCAGTTGGCCTGGCTCTATTCCAACCCCCACAGTACCCCAATCAGCCAAAGAACAGAACTGCAGATTTTTTTACTTTTAAATTAGATAGGCTTCTGGCCTTTAAAATTTCTGGAAAATCGCCAGACTTCCAAGCACGCATTTTTGGGTGGGTGGGTGATGGGTCCTGTACGGGTCCCGGGAACCCCTGCGTTCAAAGCAGAACATTCGGCGGGCAAGATGCAGATCTTCCGCTGGCCAGGGGCACCCTGGGTCCCTAAATAATTGCCTGTAATGTTTGCTTCGTGACCAAGTCAGCCCTTTGATAGATAAAGCTCAGTATTACCTGCACGGACCGGCAGCAACTCTGTAAGTCTTCACCCGTCTTGCCCAATCCAGCCTGCAGCTGGCAGGGACTGAACCTGGGCTTTGAACTACAACTCCCAGAATCCACAGCTAGAGGGCTTGACCAACCCCTTCTGGGAAGCCAGTACCTAGAAAACTGGGGGTGACGTCAGAATTGACAGCATTTGATGATTTAAGGCAACTCAAGGCCGGGCAAAGTGGGGAGCTTCTGTAGGCTTCAGGCGGTTCCTGAGACTATAACACCCATCGTCCCTTGCCACTGGCTATGCTGGTGGGGCATGATGAGCACTGGGCTGAAGGGCCACCTTTCTAAAATGTGAGAAGCAGGTGGGGATCACAGAGCTAAATGAACAAACCTGGATCAAGCAGTCAAAAAGTTTTATTCTCACTTAATTCCCTTCGTTCCTAAATTGTAACCAAACCCTGCCAAACACACACACCTATTTCCACTCCCCAAAACCAGAGGCAGCCACGATGTTCCACAGACTAAAAAAAAAGAACGAGGCCAAAATCTGACGGAGAGAAACACCACAAGCGGGAACAATCTGAAAGGTCTTTTTCCCCCAACTTCGTACGGCTGATCTCACCGCGAGCGGGCAACCAGCCGCACGAAGGAAAAGCTCCCCCCCCTCCAGCGGCCCAGAGACGCTGACGTGGCCGCATGGACACAACCGTGTCAGCGAACATGATTCTGGCCCAAAACGACATCAACACAAACGGCTGCCTCAACAGGTTCTCGAGGAAACGGATTCTCTCTTATCCCATCATGTGTACTTAATCCCCACTGTGAAGTTTCAACGCTCTCTCTTGTTGCCTTGGAAGGTGGGGGGGAAGACCTAAAACAAGAGTCCAGCTTTCGATCAGAAAAAGCGCGTGTGTGGGGGGGAATGACCACCACTGCCCGTGGCCGGTCCTGTGGCAGGACCTTACTGGCATTTGACAAAACGCTTCAGGTCTTCGAGGAAGCGAATGTATTCTTGATGCTCCAACCCCGTGCTGAGTTCCACCAGCTCGTCGGCAAAGGTATTATCCACCCCTCGGTCGGCCAGGAAATCCATGAGGTGGTCGTAGAGAGCCTGGAAGCAGAAATGGGTTTTTTTGGAAGAGTCACGAAGAAGCGAAGGCCGGCTTCCCACACCTTGCGGAGCAAGCCGACGAAAAATCTGGCCCATCATGAACTAAATGTGTTAATTCTCGACCTGGTTATCATCCTGTCATGAGATGCAGTTTCTCCTCGTCCGCTGGAGGGTTTCACTTGAAGGGGACAGAACCATATCTAATCAGAACTAGTCTCGATCTCTTTTTTTTTAACCCTCTCCCCTTGGGAGGAAAATACTTAATTTGGGCCTTTTCGGCCCGCAACCAAACTCTGCAGAACAGTCCGATGAACATCCTGCAAGACTCAAAGGCTTCGCTCTTTCTAATAATTTCAAGGCCCAATAAAAGTGTGGTCATTTTTGTATATGATCTCACTTTAGTGCCCAATGATGGGGAACTGTAGGAGTTTGGCGTAAGGGGTGATATTTAGATAGGAATTATTATTATTATCATTATTATCATTATTATCACTACTACTACTACTAGTACTACTACTACAGACTACAAATCCCATTTCTACCTGGCAGATACCCAAGTGTGGCTCGCCTGGGAGAAAGGCCTAAATCAGGAGGCTCTGAGGCCGAGCTAGGCCGAGCTCTGCCCAAGCTTCCTATTTCTGCTAGCTGGCTGATTTCTTTCCAAATAGGAAATGAGGCCTAGCTAAGCCTTCTAATTTCTTCCTTTTCACCAAGTGAGCCAGATTTGAGTGTCCTGTCTCATCTATCAGGCAGAACGCCTGGTACAGGAAAAAAAAACTGTGTTTGTGGGATTGGTATCCGTGGATTCACTTATCCACAGTCTGAAAACATTAAAAAAAATTAAAAGCTCCTAGAAATATACCCGTATTTTTCGTTCCATAAGACGCACCTTTCCATAAGACGCACCAATTTTTTAGGAGAAGAAAACAGGAAAATATAATCTGTTTTCTTCGCTCCATAAGACGCACAGACTTTCCACCCCCGTTTTGTGGGGAAAAAGTGCGTCTTATGATGCGAAAAATACGGTATATTTCTAAAGATGAAGTTACCAGAACTGGCCACTAGGTGGGGCCAGAGACCATGCTGTGCATAGCATCTGCTATAATCCATGTTTTCCAGCATCCACGGAGGCAATGCCCGCAGATACAGGGGTCCTACTGTATGGAGAATCATGGGGGTGGCAGTTCCCTTCTCCTCTCCTAATCCAATCCATGTCATTCCAAATAAAGGGGAAGAGGGGGTACGCCTTCGAAGAGAATGGCCATCAGACTTTTTACGTTCACCAAAAGGACCCAAGGCTACAAAACCGTGTCCTGTTTAAAGGAGAACATTGAGATGGCCCTGATCCACACCAACACGCCCACAGCACGCCTGGAGTCTCCAGAGGCACCTACCCAATCCAAAGAATCGGTGTTGAGGGTGTAACGATTCTCCTCCCACTCGGTTTCTCCAGTCGGCTGGAAGCTGACCTCCCGGATGGAGAAAATGTCGGATTCTTGTTCCTCCTCGCCGTGGCCAACCTGGTCGGGAGAGCAATTCCCACGGATGAAGGGGATTAAAAGATACTGATATATATACCTAGGCTAAGGAAGGATCGATTCAAACACTCCAGAGTTCCCGACCTCCCTTGATTTTAAACGGTCGAGGGAGGTCAGGAACCGGGGCGTTTTGAATCTTGACGGAGAACGGACGAGATCTCGTTCCATGACAAAGAGCCAATGCAATACAGCGGTTAGGGGGCTGGGCCTGCAGATGCCAGATGTGGGGCTTGAGTTGCCTCAGGTGCTGTGCAATGCAGTGGGTCACCGAGGGTCATTCGCACTTTCTGCTGGGCCTACCTCGCAGGGTCGTAAAGCGTAATAGGGGGAAAAAAGGCGCACACCATGAGCTTGAGCGAGGTAAATGTGACCGGCAGGGGTATGAATGAGAAAGAGAGCATTGGGAGCGCTGTATTTCTCTCCAAGAGACTCCTTCGTCTTCCTTGCACACGAGTAGCACCCTTCATGCATCACAGACTGAGCCCAAGCAGAGGGGGGAAAAAAGGGTAGCCCTCTTCTATTCTGGGGAAAGGCGGTTCACGAGACTGGCACATAAAATCTATCAGTGCCAACCGTGGGACCACCTCTCCCACTCAAGTGGAATATCGTGGGCTGCCGGGCACACAGCTTTCTCCTCCAACACCCTGCTTCCTTCGCCAAATGGCAGGGTCGGCCCCAGCCGTGAGAATCTGACCACCACCCACCTCATCTTCTGGGTAGTGGCAGTCCAGCACGAGTGTCTGCTTCGTGTCATCTTTCGTTACTTCCACGATAAAGTTTGGAGTGGAGGTGAGTTCCGGCTGCAGGAAAAAAAATCAGACAACAGAGAGACATCAACTAAAAGATGCTTTATTGGCAGAGTTCTAGACCGCACAACTAGAGCTGGAGAACCTTGTTCTCGTTCTAGATTTAAGCCCTGGCTCATGGGCACACTTTGAACGCCTGCCACTCAAATATAAGCATTCTCTGAGTCCTAAGACAGTGAAGGGAAAGAGGAAAGGGTTAGCGTTGAGCTTCATCGTGTCCGACGTAAACATCAAGCATCTTGAAAGGTAGTCCTACAAAGGCAGGATTGTTCTCGATCGTTCCAGAGGACAGAACACGTGACAAGGGGCTCAAGCTACAGGAAGCCAGATTGAGGCTGAAGATCAGGGGGGAAAAACTCCTTAACTGTTAGAGCTGTACGACAAATTAGGGGAAGGTCTCCCTGCTATCGCGCCTCTCTCCATCTCCCCCAACCCTCTCCAGCTGGCAGCAGCTCTTAGGCAAAAGATGGGTCTCTCCCACTTAGAGTGTACTCGTTCCCTTTTGGAAGCGGGGGGCATCAGGAATTGAACCCAGAACCTGCAAAGTAGCTCCTCTAACACTGAGCTGGTAAGCTTCTGTTCAAGGGGCCCGTTTACCTCTTGCTCATCGGGTTTCTGCTCTTCCGTGGACTCGTCAAAGCTGGGCGGGATGCTGTTGTTGATGTTGAAGGACACGGTGATCCTGTAAAAGACAAGGAAACCCAACACGAGCAAAGGTGAGATCAGGGCGGATCTTGACTCTTGCCATTCTGTTGACCCTGCATGCACCTTAAGATCCAGGAAGATCTGAAAATCTTTTTAAAAAAACACACACACAAAACGGCCACTTCTTTTTTGGGGGAAATCCTACACTTTTGCTCCAAGATGCTGAGAACAACAACAACAAAAAAAAACCCTGTAGCTCCCAAGGAGCAGAAAAACTCATTTTTATTTCATGATATGGGGTGATGGGCAGATTCGGCCCTCGGGCCAGAGGCTGCCAACTCCTGCTTTCCAAGGAGCGCTCCTCCCCATATGTCATGGCTCGGCACTCTCTCTAAAACAGCACCCCGTCCAACCTTTCTCACATTGGCCAGAATGCTTCTCCTACACTGGCCGGGAATTTCTACAGCTCCAGGTTCTGCTGTCGTTTGAACAAAGACTGGGAAATCACAACACAACAGCAAAACCCTTGCCGAGGTTGCCAAAAGAGATGGGGAGCAGGCCACCTCCAGCAACGCAGGGGGAAAATCAACAAAGGCCGAGCTCTTCCTCGGTTTCAACTCCAGAGGAACTTGTGAACTTAAATCTTGGGACCTGGAGGCTGAGATTTCCTTCTCCTCCTCTTCCCTCCCCATGCCTTTTTCCTTTTGTGCTGTTGCCCTTGCAGCTATAGGTGAATAAAACAGAAAACCGGCCCAAATCAAGTGGCAGACTCTCTCTCTATGGTCTACCACCACTCTGATGCACATTTCTTGCACACGTACGTTTCTCCTGCCACTTTCCGTGTAAGCTTGGCCTCCGTCCCGTGAACTTCCAGCTCCCAACCTCCAGACATTTTAGGGAGAGATTTGTGTTTCTGGATTTTCTTCTCTTCTTTGATTTCATCGGTCAGGAATTCTGCAAAAGCTTTATCGCCTGCGCGTTGGACAAAAATGGAAGTTATTACAGTCACACCATATAACACCCCATTGGTAAGCACCACTTCAATATACAGTACAAAGGTTCTTTTTCCTTTTCCTTCCTTTCGGACTGAAAACAGGAGCCATCTTTATGATGTGGTCTTGATACACAAGACATTCTGCGAGACTTTGTAGCTGTAGAGTGGTGGGTAACTGCTATGAATCAATCAAGAAAATTCACAATATCACTGGTACACAGATTAGGGTGGTGGACATTGTGGTCCTCCGGGTCTGGACTACAATTCCCATCTACTGGCCAGTGGCTGGGGCTGATGAGTGCTGGAGTCCAGCAACAAGTATAGGGCTATAGGTTCTCTGACTCAGCCATACTATCACATGGAACAAAGAAATAAAAATCCTTTCCACAACTTATCTGCCCCTAAATGCTACGCTAATATATAAATACTGTATAAAGGATTCTTAATTTTCTCAAAGCAACTTAATTTTCTCAAAGCTCAAGGTCATATTGTGAATTTTATGCTCGCCCCTGTCCGGGTTCAAAATTCCAACCACTATGCATAGTCTACACTTCAGCATTTTTTCACAATTAAATATATCCCATAGGATCCCATGCTCTCCTAAATAGAGAAGAAAGGGGTAAGTGGATATCTCTAAAAAATATATTACTAAGATGCCAATGCATTTTGTTAGTTCCAAAGGACCTGTTTTTATGCCTGCATGTCGGAACTAACCAGTTCTCAAAACAGAAACAACAAACCTTTTGAATTAAGGACAGACCCCAGACTCACAGATTTACAGTTTTGTTGCAATCATTAAACTCATCATTCTAGAATTCAAATCCTCCAAGCCTTTGGGCATCCAAATGGCCTTCTAAGCGACCAGACCATATCCTGCAGCCTCAGAGATATTTTAAGACCAAATTCTTAAATACTAGGGACGCCCGTTTACTCACTAGTACCGGGAGTGAAATCCCAGTGCACGCCATAGGGTTTGCTTCCAAGTAGACCCATTAGATTACAGGATAGGCTTACTCGGAGCCCCACGTGTTCTGCGCCTGTCCGGGTCTACCCGGCGCAGCTTCCCACGGCCTTCTGCGCTACCCGTACTCCAAGGCGTGTTTCACACACCAGACCCGTGTTCTGCCCGACAAAAGCGGCTCAATCCCACCAGCGCGCCTCGGATCGCGGCCCATAGCCCCGCCATGGCTTCCTCGGAAGCAAGCGATCGTTTATTTAAGCGGATCGGTTTCTGCTCGACCTCGGGAGGGGGGGTGTCGGGTCGGTGGTTCCCGGGAAGCAAGGCGAGGCGCTTCCTCGGGAGCCAGGGCGCCTCGGATCGGGGCCCAACGGGGTCCTGGCTTCCTCGGGAGCAAGCCCCCCCCGTGGGATCCAAAGACGTAAGCGCAGGGCCGAGGGCGGGTGAGGTTCCTCGGGAGCAAGGGGACGGGATCCGCGGCCTGCCTGCCCGCCTATTCCTCCTCCTCCTACCTTCGGTGTGGAGGCCTCCGCAGGAGCAGGAGACGGAGGGCGAGCCGCGCAGGAGCCCGCCGGAGCCTTGGCTGTCCCCGCGGAGGACCCACAGCGAGCGGGTGAAGGGCCGCGAAGCAGCCGCCGGGCCGGATCGGAGGCCCAGCCAGGCGCTCGTCTCC